TTTGGCACTCTTGGGGGTTGTGTTTGCCTTAAGTTATTGTGGTCTTCATACTGCTGCGACATATTTTACTATTAAAAAATATTTGATTATGAAATGAACCCTAAAGTTGCTTTCCAGTTTGGAATAAAAATATTTTTCACTTACCATGTTTTCATCATTTTATAGAAATAATGTGAAATAAAATTATAACTTCAAAGTTAATTGCCTTAGTTGTTTACCTGTTATTTACAATTTAAAGGACCAGAATGATCCACGTCTATTATAACATTGGCCATACGACACGTCTGTAGTTACAGCTTAAAATAAATAACTGATATTTGCTTTATTCATTTGCCCTCTATTTTGAACTAATCCATTATTTGTTTTAGATTCCAGAATCAGTCGTTCCTTCAAGTAAAAGAAGAAATTACAATTGAAGAACATGGTTTGTCCCAGGACCAAAATTTATATTTTAAGACACGTGATCATCAAAAATCCCAAGCCGAGCATGTGTTGTGCTGTGGGATTTGCTCTAAACCTTGCAGAAGTCTTCGTCTGCTAAACCAACATTTGATCAGTCATTCAGAACACCGCCCTTATTCATGCGACATTTGCCATTTAACATTCAAAATGAAAGGCAATTTAGTTCAGCATCTAAAAAGGCACGACGCACAACACCAGTACGCCTGTGAAATTTGTCCAAAACAATTTACGAACTCGGCATATTTACGTGTTCATACATTATCGCATTCGAACGCCCGCCGTTATGCATGTGATTTATGTAGTTCAACGTTTAAGACAAATCAGCAGCTTCAAGTTCACCGAAATATGCATACGCAGGCAAGACGCTACTACTGTAGAATTTGTAATAAAAGTTTTCTTTCAACTCGATGTTTATCGGTGCATCAAAGTGTTCATTCCGACTACTATCCTTTTGAATGCGAGTTTTGCAAAAAGGGTTTCAAAAGAAAAGAAACTTTACGACTGCATCGAAATTTGCACACGAGAGAGAAAGAGTATAATTGTGACATTTGCAATAAGGCGTTCGCATGTAAGGCCACTGCAAAAAAACATTTTCTATCTCATT